TCGCTATTAGGGGAAATCCCTTTTTCAAACCAAGTGTTTAATTTTTTCTTCCTTATGTTGCTTCTTTATGCAAACGCCAGTCGCTTTTGATTATCAAAATACACAACACAGAGTAGTTTGTACAGAGTAGTACAGTTCAGTAAAAACTAAAGTGGGTCAAAAAAAAAGAAATGGCTGCTAAATTTGGTTTCCTGGCGAGTACATTTTCAACGATTTTAAAACATAAAGAATCTATTACTGCTTCATTAGAGTCTGGTACTTCTGCAGAAAAATAGTAAGAAAGTCAATATTTAAATATGTCGATCAAAAGATTCTCATATGCTCAAGGCAGTGGAGTTTGCGAAACGGTTTGGTGATGATAACTTTAAGGCAAGTACTGATTGTCTTGATTAATGAAAGCAAAGGTACTGAACAAACCATTTACTGATAAAAAAAATTAAAATCCTAAACCCTGATTTCTGAATATTTTACTTTACTTTAACTTCTGTGCTGTATTTTATTTCAATTAAATAAATAAATGTCTTACAAAGTAATTCTAGTTTCTTTAAAAAAAAAAAACAATAATACTTTCCCTAACTCGAAGTCTCCATAAGTCGAACCTTTTCTTTGTAAAATGGTACTCCGAGTTATGGAAGTTTCACTGTATTTTGTTTTTATATTATTTATATGACAATATAGAACTTAAGGTAAAATATTTCATTTTAATTTCTGTTAACTGCTTACATGGAAGTGTTTATTTGGCAACATGTTTTCTTATTTTTTATAGTTTTTTTTTTCATACTAGGGAGTATCATGCACGCTTTGCTCTTTATATAGAAAAACGTTATTTTTTTAGAGCAATGTATTTGTTATTAATATATATGTACATTTTAAATTTTTACAATACAAATGTTTCAAATTTAATTGAATAATTAATATATTCTGAATTAATATTTGTTCCTCATAAATATAGAATAACACCAGTATTCTATCTATGTTGAGCTATGTACTTAAGCACTTTTACTCTCTACTAATTGCGAGGCTTCTTCATAAACCCTCTCTACGCCTTGACTGGATTATTGTTTATCACTTCATCTGACTAAGCAGTAACTGACCTAAGATCTGCAAACCTCCCCGAGGAGCCTGTAACCATTCTAAGATTTGATGATAGTGCCCATGACCTATATCATTGCTTAATATGGCAAGTGATTGCATAAAGTGACAAAGCAATTGTGACATAATTTACTTACTTTTACTTACTTACTTACTTACTTAGTAGGCTATTGCTGACGTGGATCGTCCTTGGCCGCGTCGAGTAGCCTCCGCCAGTCAGCCCGATTAGTTGCTTTCTGACGCCAGTTGGTAGTACCGAGCGCCCCCAAATCTTTGGTTACCTTGTTCTTCACCGAAGATGCGGACGTCCTCTACCGCGTTTTTCACCTGCGGGTACCGAATCAAATACCTTATTAGCCGGAACACTTTCTTTAATTCTCACGACATGACCAAGCCAGCGTAGCCGCTGAATTTTTATGCGCTTAGCAATGTCAATATCGCGGTATAGTTCATACAGCTCATCGTTCTATCTATTTCGATACTTCTCGCCCATGTGTATGAGACCATAGATCTCCCGAAGAATTTTTCTCTCGTATGCTCCTAACGCCTTCTCATCGCTGTTGGTAATTGTACAAGCTTTTGCAACATACAGAAGGACAGGCGTGATAAGAGATTTGTAGAGCGTGATTTTGTTTGTCGAGAGAGGGCTTTATTTCTCAATTGCTTACTTAGCCCGAAGTAACATTTGTTGGCAAGAGTGATTCTTCGTTGAACCTCTAAGCTGACGTCATTTTTGGTGTTAAGGGAAATACAACACCATAATATGCTTATATTTATGAATAATATGCATTAAAAAAATGTATGAGTAATATGCATAAAATAATGCATTCTAACATATGTTAGGAGAGTGAGATAAATATTATATATAAATTTTATATACTGAATTCTATTTTTTATTAAAAATTGGGAGTAACCAGTGCATTGATTGGCTACTCATAAATAAATAAGAATTAAGTATTTAAATTTGCACATAAGAATAATTTTGTATTAATAGTGTAGAATTTTCTAAATAAAAACAGATTCTTTTGATCACTCAAATAAGTGTTTACAATCTTTTCATACTTATTGTTTAAATATTGTCCATTTTAAAAAAGGCAATTAATCCTATTATGTGACAAACCTGCCGTTTCATATAATATTACATGGCGATCCTGCCATGTTCCAGAATGTTGACATTACAAAATCCTGTAGGTCTTCGTAAATATTTTCAGTGCTATATCCTTTATTTATTTTTTGATCTGACCAATCTTGAGGTCACTGAGGATGTCATTTGTCCTAATGTACCATGGCACCTTCTCAGAGCCTGGCTAGTGTTTGAGGCCTTGCGTCAATACACGCTTCGAGTCAGGATATATGATTTTGTTATTACGGTTTTAGGAGTGCGACAAAATCCATTAGTCAACAAGACATACGAACTGATTTATTCCATTATATTCTCTGTTAATATTTTCTTATAGACTTTACAGATTTATATTTAAATTAACAAATAAATTGTTATTACGATCAATTTTCAATACGTTTTTTTAATTATTACTTAACTTTTTAATTATTTTAACACATAAAAATTAAAAATGTTTTTTAAACAAAAAATTACACTTATAAATTCGTGTTTTTCTTACAAAAAAATGTAAAAAATCTTAATGGGTTAATAAAACTGTTTGTTATTAATTAACTAATCCCATATAGGTTATTTCATCCTTAAGGGCAGGTTAGGTGGGATCATTTTATCTTTCTAATGTGTTCTCACAATATATGAAAATATGTTATAGTGATATATTTTACACAATATACAATCTTCTGACGCTTCTTATATATATAAACTATTTTCTTTATATTAAAAGTGCTATTGTAGAACATTATTGTGCTAATTATTGATGTTAATTGATATATGTTTAGTGATTTGAATAGATGTTTCGTTTGTCAAAATATATTGTATTTCTAAAATGTATCAATTAGTGTTTGGGAATGTTGCGGTAATCATTTAATACAGTACTGCAATTGGTTTAATATCATAAAGTAATTGGTAAGAGATATCCATATAAACTTATGCCTTTACCAATTAACTATAATTGTTGTGTGTATGTTAAAGTCCTTGTGTAGAGAGCAGATTACAAGAAATTTAAAAGTCCGAAAAATATTTTCCATTTAGACATAAGATTAGTTGATGTTATCTATTTATTTAAGTGGTTTTCTCCAGACTATATCTTAAGATTTACCAAAGTGATACAGACCAAAGAGATCATATCATAAGTAATCTCTACAGACAGTAACTTTATTTAGAAAAATTACTATATTTTGCTATGGTTCTATAAAATCATATGTGGTCTAGGCCAGCTAGCTCTACCTAAATATTAATTTAATTTAAATATATATTCCAATTTAATTTAACGCGGAAAAGATATTTGATTATAAGTCTTTAGAAACTTAAAGTAGAGAATAGTAAGTAATGGATACATGACATTAATAGACGCATTTTCGTGAGATATGAGATATAACTCATCATAGCTAAGACTAACATTTTCTTATTCTCCAATTAATTTGTTTATATTTTGAACTCTATGAAAAAAATATATTCATATTACTTGTCATCCATACAGCCTAATTGACATACATTGTGACCGAAAAGCTTCCGGAAATTTTAAATAAAACGCAAAATTCTTAATCTTCATCAATATTTATTTTATCTCCTTCAAAATATGCTCCATTAGAAGCGATACACAAATGCCAACGTTTCTTCCAATCATCAAAACATTTTTTTTATAGGCGCTTTCCGGTATGGCTTTGAGTTCCCTCTGCGAATTCTGTTTTACGTCTTCTATGGATTCAAAACGCGTTCCTCTGAGTGGTAATTTGAGGTTGGGAAACAGGAAAAAGTCACACGGTGCAAGATCAGGTGAATACGGTGGCTGTTCGATGGTATTTATTGAATGTTTGGCCTTAAAATCGTTGATAATGTTGAACAAATTGAGGTGAATCGGAACAAGCCGGGCGTTGACACGTCGCATACACAAATTGTCCACCAAAATCAAACGAGCCATCTCACGACCGATGCCTAGCTCTCGTGCTATCTCTCTAACACTCACATGAGGATTTTTGAACACGATTTCCTTTGCCTTTTCAATGTTTTCGTCGGTGGTAGAGGTCGAAGGTCGTCCAGAACGCGGCATGTCTTCGACGGTCGTACGACAGTCCTGAAAGGCTTTGTACCACTCATAAACTTGAGTTTTCGATAAAACTGATTCCCCATAAGCCTTTTGTAGCATTCGCAACGATTCTGCACACGAAATTTCGTTCGAAAAACAAAATTTGATGCAAACTCTTTGTTCAATATTTTTTTCCATTGTTTTTTTCGCAACGCACTACTGAGGTGAACTGGTTTCAACAGCTGCCGTAAACGAACTGTCCGACAGATCGCGCTCATTTTTGGCATAGTAATTAAGGACAGTGCTGGCAAACTACATAAACTTAAAATATCGAAAAATATACAGCGCGCGAATTTTAAATGAGAACCTCCGAAAACCTTTCGGTCACAATGTAGAGGTAGTGTATAATACTCATCTAAATCATTCTGTAAAAATTTATGATTCTGGGCAATCAAGCGTTTCCTTTGCCACTGCGCAACTTTCGCTTTTGGAAGAGACAGTTTTTTAGGGAAATACATTTTTGATAGTTTCTTGGTCTGTTAATCGGTAAGGACGAAAGATCAATTAAATTACCTAAATTCAACGGTATGGATTTAGTTTTTATCTTTTTAGGTTTGTTACGAGGAGTGTGGTAGGGAATGTTGCTATTTTTAGAATTAATATATTTAGATTTGTTTTTGTAAATGAGTTTTTTTAATAAATTTAATTATAAATTGTTAATTTTATATGTATTAACAATAACAATTTTATATATTTGTAGATTACACAAACTATATTAAACGTCATATGATTGCCACATATTGCTCGGACTCTTCCTTGAGTGGAAGATGTACTGCTAGCATATATACAAATTGCAGTGGATCAATTGTAAGCGGTGTTACAAAGGGTATGAATGATGTAACTGGACAATTTTCTTGTTAAACTTTGAAGGTACTCAAAGTATTTTGCTTTTTTTTTGTAAAAAAATTAATATATAATATTTCTTTTAGGATGTCCTTATTTCAGATTCTGAAATGTGTGTCTTACAAAACTAATTTCAAGATTTGCTTTTGTATATGTATTTTTCATGAATTTTATAATAAATAATTTTTTTTTATAGATTACACAAACTACATGTATTAACTACCATATGATTGGCAAAATATAACTGGTTTCTTCCTCAGTGAAAGAATTTCCGATAGCACATATACAAATAGTAGTGAAGAAATTGCAAATGGAGCGACAAAAGGTATGAGTGGTAAAAGTGGACAGTTTGCATATCAAATTGTGTATTTGAGATACAAATCTTGGTAAACATTTATTTACATTTTTGTTTTTTTTTATAACTACAATTTTATATGTTGGTATATTTTTTTATTTATTTATTTTGAATTTCATATATTAAATCTTTTCAATTTCTATGTCATATATGTTCTATGTTGACATACTTTTTTATTTAATTCGATTTAATTTGTGAAAGAATATTGAAGCAATCCTATACGATTTTATGATTGGGTTCCAAAATAAACTACTTAGTGATTTTTTTCTTTTTTTTTTCAAAAAATTGCAAACATTTATTTAATGTTACTCATACGCTGTGTAGATTTATACTTTTTTCTACCGCGAAGAAAAAGAATAATAGGAATAGAATAAGAATAGAATAAGAATAGTTAAACTTAGAAGTTTTTTTTTGGCTAAGGTTGTAAATAGTCATACATCTTGACTTTATCTGTAGGGTGATATTTCCTTTCCATATGTGGCCATGTGTACATTGCCTTATCAAGTGAACATTTACTGCAATTTTTATTCACTTTTTTTTATTTTATTATTTAATTCAATTGAGCCTAATTAAACATAAAATCTAATTGGAAATATTTTTACATTGGGAACCTAAAATAGTCCGTATTAATTCTTTTCTGTAATATTATAGTATAATGATTAGTACCATATGTAATTTAATTAGTTAAATCAGACGATTTGATTCTCTTAAGCCGTTGTATGAGGTCGTCTGTTTGAAGAAGTGATTATATTGCAGTGAATTTCAAGTCTTTTTTTATGTACTTCAGCCTGAAGCGTGGTTGTTTCAGCAACTGTCGGAACGTTCAAGTCACGACGAAAGTAGTAGTATGTTACGGACATACTATGGAGCTATGGTAATTGTTCTTAGGATGTTGTTTTGATATCGTTGGATTATCTGAGTTGAGCAGGTACTATGTCCAATTTGGGCTTGTATATTATTAGCTTGTTTTCGATTGATATAGCAGAATGTCATCGAAGTAGCTACTTAATTGAGTTGAACTGAAGATTTAGTTCTTGACATTTTTTTTTGACATGTTTACACCACCGAAGTCTCGCATCAAGTGCCATGCCCAAGTATTTAACTGTATTAGCTTATCTATTAGAGTTATCTATTGACAATTGATGACATTGTAGTGTATTTATGACCGATATTGGTGCATTGAACTATAGATTAAAATGTAATACAGAAAATATGTGATCCATGAAATTCACAGAGTATATGAATAATTTTCGTGGGCATGTATTAATTTGTTTTCCAGTGTTTTAAAGAGTTGTCGTTACTCTTACATTGGTCGCTGTATATTGTATTTCTTACAACCATAAAAAAGTAAGTAAAATGAAATCAAATTTTTGATATTAAAATTATATTTAAAATTTATTAGAAGAACCACTTGCTTTTTCCAATTGTTGGTTCCACCTTCATTTTATTGGTATTTCATCCTTCCGCTATTTTAGTTTTTGTATTCGAGTTTCGAGTTCATTGTTTGTTGGTCATTGTTTTTTCAGTAGCGTACGCTTTTAGTTTCAATAAATCGCATCTGTAGATAGATTGTAATTCCCCACACCCCTGTCTAAGGCTATTGTCAAGTCATTGACCGAATTAATTTTCAGTTTTAATAAAAATTTAAATATTGATGTTCTGAGTATAAAGTTCATGTTGTTTGTTTTAAAAGTTTTTTCCTTTTTATTTGATTTTTGTAATTAAAATTCGTTGTACTTATAACTGAAAGTTAAAAAAACCAGCAAAAAATCATTATTAAAATTTTATTTAAAAAAAAATTAAAATTAAGTGTAGTTTTTAGTTACATTTTAAAAGTTTAAAGAAATTTAAACAAATGCAAATTTTGAATACTCGTAGTTCTGAATTACCTATTATTATATTGATTACTTAATTGGAAAACATTTTAGAAATAAAGTTATTGCAAATTAAAAATCGGCTAGGAATTTCAAGAACTACTCGTTTTGCACTTTACTTTTTTAGTGAATATAGGGGTTTCATCTTTTTAGACACTAAAGATTAGACTAAAGACTTGGCTCTGTTTTAATTAAGTTGGTATTATTAATCTATTATTTGGTCGGTCGTGGTGTCTCACTAATGGCACAATCAAAATATTTCCTGAATATATGGACAAACAAACCATTGATATTAAGCGAAAACATTGCAGATAATGTTCTATTCTCTTGTTCAAGCTGAATAATATATATGTTCGGCAAAAATTTATTTAAATAAATATAAAACATAATGTAGTCAATTTCTCCATTTCTCTTCGATAAACCACTTGTTATGATGAATAGGTGCTTTTATAATTTCTACCATAAACTGCTTTCTATCATAATTAGAGATTTTTGTCATTGGACAGAATTTACTACTGCTGTGTCTATGAATACTGAACCAATTTAATTCCAGTGTGACAAAGCTTTTGTATGGTGACACTGCAATGATGCAGAAACGCCAAAAATCCATCAATAAACCCATCAAAACGGTAGTGAGTGTTAAGTACTTATGTTGTTATATCTGCTAAAACGGTGTGTTTGTGCGGTTCAATTGCACTTCGGATTCAAAGTGGATGGTAAAGCATTACTGTATTGGCCTATACTGTTCAGTGTGACAAGAAAATACCACAGTAGTTACAACGGAAAATATACAATAATACGATTAGACCAGTTTCATATGACAGAAATGCGTCAAAAGCGTAGAAAGTCAGTAAAGTGGTAGTAATAGACAAGATAAAAAACAACTTCATTCAAGGTGGCAGCAAGGTTAGTCCGATCGGTGCTAAACTGCAAGAAACCGTCTTTGCCATATGTGGCCATGTAATAAAAAAGACCAAAAAACAAAGCGGTGAGGCAAATGTAGTAGTGGAGGCTAGCAGTCCCGTACAGAAAAGTGTTTATTTTGTGGAGACTTGCAGTAATTGGAAAATTGTTTTTTATTTTGTTGAACATTCATGATGCATTAATAATGAATTTATATACATATATATATACATGTTTAAATATAGTGCTTCGATTTTTATTGGGGCCTTGCCGTACTAAAATCCTGGCTACATACATTCCATGCAGGCCAATGAAATCCTAGAAAAAAACTATTAAAAGTGACATGTGATATAGATTAGTCAATTTAAATGATAATTCGAAAGTAAAACGACTACATTTCATTAACATAAAAATATTACAATTCCTTAATATATATACCTCTGTAGTTTCAATGGTGAAATTTCATAAATTTGGCTCACTTACTCAGTCTTATTATTCACATTTAATCCATAGTGATAATCTACGAAAGCTAAAGAGATTAGCCTACATAATGATAAGTGCAGCGATGAGAACCATGCCGACAGCAGCCCTTGAGGTTGCATTGGGGCTCCAATGGAACCTCACAATATAAACTCTAATGGATTTTATATTCAAGTTCACTTAACAAAATACGTCCTTGAGATGAGAGGAAAAAAAGAAGGTTAAAAAACAGTATAAAATTAAATTGTATCACAACAGTACTTTCGTTACAAAGTTAACGAAAGTCATCATTGGGTTGCCTATTAATAAATAAAGGGGAGTACCACGTGTTATTTTAGTAAAATTAAATAAATTTTAAATTTGGATCAAATCGATGAAAACGTTCAACGTTGTAATTCTTCATGTAGCTTCTTTAAACTTAAAATTACTGAATGACTGGAAAAAGCAGATCATATTAGTTAGGATAATGTAATTGCCTGCAGACAAGCTAAAGATTTTATATCTTTCTCATAAAGTCCCTCACTGAGTTTCTCTATTATTATTATTATTATTAAGACATGTTCTTCATTATAAAAATTAAATTAAAAATTTAAAAATTAGAACCTAGTCTATTCACAAATAATATTTATAAACTTCTTCCATTCCTCTCTGTTTCTGGCAGTAAAACGTAACTGGTTAAAGGATTTGCTTGTTTCTGCTGCCACTGTTCTTCGCCAGGTGGTTTTGGGACGACCTCGTCTCCTTACTCCTTGCGGGTTCCATTCCATGACTGCGTGGGCAATTGCATCTGTCGGTTTTCTAAGTGTGTGGCCGAGCCAGCCATATTTGCGTCTCAAAATTTCTTTCTCTATTGGCTTTTGTTGGGTACGCTGCCATAGCACTTCGTTGGAGACTCTTGCAGGCCACCATATGTTCAGAATACGCCGCAGGCTTCTATTTACAAAGGATTGTATCTTCTGAGTCGAGGCCCTCGTAAGCGACCATGTTTCGCACCCATATAATAATGTCGATTTGACGCAGGCGTTGAATATTCTGGTTTTAGTTTCGACGCTTACATTGTTGGCTTTCCAGATTTTGTTAAGCGATGCGAAAGAGTTTCTCTATTGCGGAATCAAAAAGCATCTATCGAACCTAGGCATTACAAGAAACGATAGTTGCAGACTTTGTCAAGAAGAAGAGGAAACAACAAAACACGTTACTATGTCGTTGTGATAAACTCGCCTCACTCAGACTTCGATACTTATCAACTGCCCATCCACTTATAATGGAATTGGACAACATCTCTCCAAGGAATATAATGGCATGTTTAACAACTACGACCCTTTGGAACTAAAATTGGTTTGTCACAATAATTCTCAAAGGATACAGTAATGTGGTGATATAGTTCCCAACCCTTTTCTAAATTTAATCTAATCTAATCCACAATGGATTTTTTTAGTTGCTAAACATGAAGAAATGGCTTGAAGCAGAGAAATTTTTCTTTGGCGATGAAATATTTAAAGGAAATTACAATATTAGAAGAGGATCAAAAAGGGCAAAACGGTTGACTTTATGATTTACCCCAGTTTTTTGAATTTTGTAATTCCATTAGCTACAAAAGATAAAACTTTTAAAGTTATTTATAATGAAAAACTACAAAATATCAATTTGCAAAAATTTTTAAATTGAAAATGCATTTCTACTTTACAAAATCTTTCTATCACTAACGGCAAA